CCCGCGCTCAGCGGGGCTGCCCGAGCCCGGCCGCGGCACCGCCGCGATGCCCGCGTTTCGTAACCGGGCTCCGGCTCCCGCAAACCATTTTCCTGACCCAGATGCATTAATTGAGTTGCCGCGATTGCCTGACGGGCAGCCCGGCCGCGTTTTGCCAGCGACCCCGGGGGCTGGAGGTTTTGGCAGCGCCCCGGCCTGTTACTCAGCAGATCCCCGGCAGGAGCCGCGGATGGCGGCGGCGATCGGCAGGTTAAAGACCTTTTAATGGCACACGGTGACAACACACGATAATGGCCCCGCTGCGTGCAGCTGGAGACCCGCTCCGCACATCATCGGCCCCGAGCACCCAGGCGCATTTGTCACTTCCCAGCCAGGGGAGCTGTTTGTGCTCTGCCGCTTTGGTAGCTTTGTGCCCTGGAAACTGAAACACGGTGACTCAAATCTTCATCTTTCCGCCTAAAAAGGCATTCTAAACAAAGAATTGCTTATTCATGGCAATAACGTTTCACATCCTTACGGTGAACATAGGACTTGAGCTGTTTCGACTTTAACTCCGTAGGCTTTCGTTTATTTCTTTCAAAGCATAGCCAAAAGGCATTTTGCTTATCCATACTTATGGCAGTACTGTAGTGGCCCCCTCGCACCCCCCCCCAATATTTAACATCTCCACCCCCCGCCTTTGTTTTTCAATCATTTTGGTGGCAGCAGATGTGTCTGATGACCGAAATGGATTGGAAACCAGAATCGTTTGTTGGATTTTTTGTTGGCAAGTAGGTCCTTCGCATTAGCCTCAAGAGGGTAGGTGAATAAGTTTATATACTTACCACAGTTTCAAGATTCATCATTTCCAGTCCTCAGTTCTCCATGGATCTGTAAGAAACCTCTCTTCATCCTGTGATGAGGGAGCAACTGCAGGAGCTCTGGCAAATTCATGGCATCTTTTAAAATTGCATCTTTTTTTTCTAAGCGATCGTTATATCTGCTGTAGCCCGAATAAACAGAGGACTTAGATCAGCATGCCCGTTGAGCTAGCACATTTCACCAACGCTAATCTCATTTAAAAAGAGAGAATTGTGCGCTGAGCCAAGCAGCTGGCTGGGGCTGTTTGTGCCGTAGGCTGTCGTGATGCCAGGCCAGGTTGACAGCTGGGACCTCGTAGAGTAAATAACACAGCTGAGCTCCAGTTTGGGCTCCAGCAGTGCAGCTCTGCTGGTGGGATGCTCTGCTGCAAATGCTTTTCCTCTGAAGTGTGGGTCAGGCTCCTGTGTGTCCTGATCTTCTCCAAGGGCATGGCCCACTCTTCCAGTTACTTAACATACGACGGCTGCCGGAGTTTCTGCTTGTCCTCTTCCCTGAGCCTGGAAAAGAAGGAGGAAATCAATAGTTGGAGGAAGAATCCTGCAACTATGATCAAAGAAGAATGAAGAACATGCTTTTTTCATCTGGCTTCTCAAGGCACCAGCCTAGGGACACCTAGGCAGGTCTCAGTGGGAGAAGGCAGAAGAGGATTTGGTAAAGGTCCAGAGCATTTGACAGCACAATCTAAGTCTTTATCAGTTCTTCTGTGCTGAAAGGAAGAATAAAAACTAATTCACATTTTTGTCCCCTTTCTGGGCTCTGGATCTGTTTAGGATAAATTGGAGCAGGATGCAGCTATTGCCATGAGGAGAGCAAAAACATGGTGTGCTCTGGCTGTATGCTCATTTTCTTTTTTTCAGGCAAGTTGGAGAGCTGAGGGACGCATGGACTGCCCCCAACCCCCCACCTCCATTATTTTCTGAGGTGATTTTTGCACTCTTAGAAGCTGCTGGCTCCAGAGTCAGTGTAACACAACTTAAGTCCTTGTGAATTCTCAGGGCTGAAAATATGGGAAAGATTCTATTGGAGGAACTATTTTAAAAATTTATTTCTTGGGCTGATCTAAATACCAGAAGGAAACAGTGCCAGCGCCACAAACGGCTGGTTTGTAAATTTTTATTCTGACGGCTTTCCCACATTTTTTGGAGAGGTTGTAAGCTGATTTCTGAAGGAGAAAGCTCTGCGTTGCTTAGCTGCAGTTTGTATGGGGTTTTTTCCTAGCTGTGGGAATGGAGTTGAGACACAACACCAGGCAGAAACTCATCCTGTGACAGGGTGGTGTGTGGTGGCAGCCCTTTGCCTGTTGGGTCAGGTGGTTACAGATGTGAGGGAGTGGGAGAAGATGCTTCTTTGCATCCAGTGAGCTGTTCTGAACCATCATGAAGGACTTCTGTGTGTTTCACGTTGTTTATAAAATAAGAAAGTCTGTGTATGCAGCATGATCCCCTGGCAAGTGATACTTTTGTCAGGGTTAAATATGAATTGCATTTGTATCTGTGGGACAGATGTGTATAGGTGAAGATTTTAGTATAAGCATTAAATGAGGCTGCAGATTTCATGGGAGCTGTAGGACTGTAATGAGGAGACACAGTTCATTCAAATTTCACACTCTGTAGCTCGTTCCTTTCCAAATATGTTTTGTTTAATGTAATTTGTTATTTTGATAGCTTCTTCTCCTCCCCCTCACCATACTTCCCAACTTTTTTCCGTAAATATATCAACATTGTAAAAAAATTCCATAAACAGAGATAACAAGCTTTTTGTGTGATCATAGGTATTGTTATTCATAGAACACATTAAATGCCTAAGGTTACCACTTTAGGTCCTTAAGGGACATAGTAATAAAAATTCAACAGCCATTTTTTTCCTAATCAGAATTCTGTACTGAATGCATCTGGTTTGGAACTAGTAGATTAAAAAAAGGCGATAAAAGCTCTGCTTGGTTGTTAGCTATTTTTATTTTTTCCTTTTGGGTATCATAAATTGCTTGCATAGAAATCTGAGATACAGCTTGGCTTGTTTTTAAGAGAAGATTAATTTTGGATTAGAATTCTAAGTGAATTTTTTTATAGGAGAGAGAAACCTTGAAGCACCCCTCAGTACCTTGTATTTTCTAGTACTTAAGTAACCTTTGGTCTTAAAACATGTGTATAATTAATATTTCATTGTAGCCTTCTAAATATATTTCGCTAGCAGATGAACTGTCTGCCTCAATGTGTTTTGGGAAGGAGCTTTAAGGTTGCATGCACTTGTCCTTAAAGTTACATGGCTGAGGAAAATGGGTCTTCTATGCAAAGCCTGTTGTTGCCCCAAACAGGCACTGTAGCAAAGTGATTACTTTCTGATCCTAAGCCCTGTGAGACACTTGGTGCTCAAATAAGTGAGACACACTCTGTGTGTGCTGTCCTGCTGGAATTGGGTTTTTTTGCTGTCAATGTAATGAAAGCGTGTAAGCAGAGTTTCCATTCAGACAGCAGTCCTAGGTGGGTCACTGATCTGGAGAGCATCTTCCAAAGTTTTTGGGGTCTACACTAGGTTCTTAGAACTTAGTGTGTCTTTGGCAATGTGACAAAATCAGAGCTAAGGTAGCTACACACAGTTAGTGGTAGTTTTGTTTTCTGAGTTGTAATTGCTTTGAAAACAGACCTGTGCATCCTGGTGTGGCCCCTTGGAAGGCAGCAGGTGGCAGGAGAAGAGTGGGGCAGGTAAGGGTTGCTTGGCTGTGAGGCCACACCAGGGCTGTGATCTTAAAAAAGGTTGAAATAGCATGTTTTCACATGGTTCCTCTTCTTTTAGCCTGTTCCTCTGGGAGTGTGGTGTCACTGGTGTGGAGGTCAGGGGGCCTGGAGATGGCCCCATGAAGGATGACAGGCTCAGTGCCCCTCTGGCATGGGAGGTGTGGGGAGTCTTGGTGTCTGCTGTGAAGTCCCCCTCCCATTTCCATCTTCTTGGATTCCCCCCAAAGGAGGTCACTTTTGGGTGCTGAAAGTGGCTCTGCTGAGGGACAGGCAGCTCCTGCTGTGGCAGGAGGGTGGAGGAGGCATTCCCCTGCCATTCCAGGGGCTCACAAAGCTGTTTTCCAAGAAATGACCAAGACACAGAGTGAGTGTGGTGTCCTGCTCTGAATAAACACAGATTTATGGCTCAACTCCTGACCCATCCTCAAATGCAGCCGTCTGAGCTGTGCATTATAACGTGGGATTAGATTTGCATGTCCCTTTGAGTTACTAGTGGCATTACTCATCTCCCCTCTAAGTGTCCAGCTGGGCTGCTGAAATAACTGGTTTTCTCCCCAAATCTTCTTTCCAGTGCTTCTGCATTGGTTCCTGCATGTTTCTGCATGTTTTAATACCTCTTACTATGCCTGTATTGCTTTTCTTTTAATTCTTTTAAAATATATGTTAGCAGATGGTTTTAAAGGAAATATTTTGGGAAATTTTTAGCTTTCCCATGTGGCTTAGATTGCTCAATCTCTTGGTGGTTCCATTTGATTGTAAAGTCAACATTGCTATACTTTTAGAAAGAAGTGTTATTACTCATATGCAGTTACCTGAAATCCCAGAAAAACCCCAAGCTCTCAGAAATGCACAGTATCCCCCAGTCATGACAGATTTGAAGTGCTCCATTATTCAGGAACAAACCTCATGCAGTTCCCTCCTTAAGTCAGTTGTTTCCTGTTCTGTTCTCACAATGATATACATGAAAGATTAAAGATAATGGTGTTTTCTAGTGAGCATAGCCCAAGGTGAATTCTGTTGGCTAAATAAATAACTGGATTTTATAAAACAATAAACAATAATAAAAAGGCTAGATGGTGTTTGAAACCATAATTCCAGAGTCAGCTTTCTAAGTTCCTTCTTGGGATGTGTACCCAGACTGGCTCAGTTAGTGGGGTTTTGACTGGGATTTTTCATGTTCTGAAAATCATGTGGGTTTGGTACAAATTAGCATTTTACACCTCATTTAATGGAATAATTGACTTTGCTCTAGGCTAAATGCTCCTTTTCTGTTTGTGGAGCTGTGCTTGCATCTCGACCCCTTGACCTTGGAGTTTGCATCGGGGCAGTTCTGTAGTTTAAGGATGGTGACATTTTCACATTAGAGGATGATTTGGAAGTTGTTCCAGTTCTGTTTGGGAAGGCATAGGATGCATTCACAACCAAGCAGTGGCAAGAGCCCTTGTTTTCCACAGGGAAGGGGGTGAGGCTGTGGGGGAGTGCCACTGTATATGTAGTAAACATTTGGCTGTTCAGCATTCCCTCGTGCTCTGAGCAACCTGTTGTGTAAACAGGGTAAATATAAATTCTAGAGAAAGGTGCTGGGAAGGTCTTGTTAGCACTTTTCCACGAAAACAGCGGTAGAGTCCTTGGATGCTGGTTCATTTCAGCCTTGCTTGTCAAGGAAATGGAGGCAATTATCATAGGTAAACCAGGGGAATTCAAAATGGATCCAATAATTTGATTTTATCTCTGATTGTGTGTCTATTTATCAATTCCCCGTGCTGTCAGGGAGGGAAATTAGGTTACCTGCTACCGTTAGTTGCCTCCATCTCTGGATTTTTATCATCATTTCTTCTGTTGTTGCAACTGTCCTACAAATTTACGTGCCACTGAGTTAATAGATGAATATCTAGAAAGGCTCTTTGTGCATGTGAGCTTGCAGAAACATCTCCTTCAATCTTTCACATGCTGTTTAAGCCCGGTGACGCTTGTTACAGAGATGCTGGCTTTGCTGTGGTGCTGTCTTGCAGCCACCAAATTTGCACTTTTCAGCCCTGTTGATCTCAGTGCCTTGCAAACCTCGGCAACTGAATCTTTAGAATAAAATGCAGGACTGCAGAAGCAACTGTGGGGAGCAGATGACAGATATTGTATGGCCATTTTTATTTGCATAATGTTACTTCTTTAGGCTCATTTCTATTAATTAGCATTTAATCACCTCTCAGAGAAGAGATCCTTCACATGGGCAGGCTTCTTTCCATCTTAGCTCTCACAGTGGTTGGCAGATGGTTGAAATGTTCTGTCTCTAACAGTTTTGGGTTAGGAGAGGGAAGCATTTTAATTTCCCTTGCACTGAAGGGACTCTGAAGCATGGCACACTTGTGTCTTACTAGATTATTGTTGCTTCGTAGCTGAGCTGGTTCTTTGAGCTCTGGGAGGAAGACACAGGATTTTTAAGAACTGTAATAGAAGAGTGGAAGTTAATGTTGTCAATATTAATTTTGCTGTAATTTCCACGTAGTGTTTTGCAAGATGTTTTCCACATGTGCTTATATCATCTCTGTGTTTCTGGGGACAGTACTAAAATATTTAAAAGAAGCAGGCAGCCCCCCTTTCCTCTCTATTTCTTGCTCTTCTCATGTCCCTGAATTTCTGTGCTGAGTTCAGTTGTTGGCTGGGCACTGTGTGATACTGGCAGTGATCCTCTCCCAAAAGCCAGGCAGGACTCACCACATTCACCAACAGCCTGGGCTGAGCAGAAGGTTGAAATTTTGTCTTGCCATCGTTTATTATTAGGAGATGTTTGCTGAGAGCTTTGAGGAAAGGTTGGGTTTGGTTTGGGCTGAATGTGGATTTGGATGGATCAAACTGAAATGTTATTTTTTTGTGATTATATTCAAAAAGGGTCTTTTTTAAGAGTTTAATTGCTAGGAGAATGTGATGGGGTGAATAATGACGTGATGGACTTAATCTGCAGAAGCCTCTGGATTTAGGGAGCAGACCTAAGGAAAAGGTTGGTATGATTATAAGGAGCTGCAGAGAAGTGGAGAGGAGTAAAGAGAGTGAAACCTTGTAAATATCATAGTAAGAGTAAACTTATATTTCCCTAAAACTGGGAAGAGAAGGAAGCCCCTGCTGCCTGACCCACATAACCAGTCAGTGCCTTAATGCCTCTGAACAGAAATGATGGGCTCAGACCTGCTGCTG